AAATAAATATTGCATCTGAATATGTGTAAAAGGCTCAAGGTTTTATTTATCCTCTTATTTTGCTCCTTCCAGACAAACCAGCTTGAATCCTGGCATAATTAATCGGAGATAAAAGGCTGAATATTTAAACTATTGCTTTTATTATAATTACACTGGCGCACAAATAAATAAGCACTAAGTTATTGTAAAATATTGTCAATGCACGAAAGGAAACAAAACTGATTTTCAAACAACATCTTATTACTTCAGAAGTATCAAAGTACATTTAATTACATTTTACTTAAAAAAAGAATCAAGTACAAAAATGAAAAGAAATAAATATGTATTCATACTGTGTATATAGAAATGGCTAATATATGATTACAGTTATCATCTAGCTACTCCGTACACATTTCAGGCACATACCTGACATTTCTAATGAAATATGAAAAAGCAATATGACATTCAGTTTTAAAATATTGGTAAACATATTACATTGGAATGGACATGTTACGGTTTCATTTCCTTTAAAAACCCTGTTGCTTAAAAATGTAGGGCCATTGGCCGCTTAAAAAAACCCAACATACTATTTAATACCATCAGCTATAAATTAAGGAGGGGAGCAATAAAGGAAACATACATTTGCTAATATACGTAAACACATTTTTAGTGCAAGAATTAACAAGACCTGTGACCTTACTGTGCTTTCTTGAAATCACAGTGCACTTGACACAAATTGCTACACTAGAATGTTGAACTTTAGAAATTTAAAGCAAAGTTAAGTGCATACCAAACATTTTCGTATATACAGTCAGTATAAGTGTGTGGGTATATATGTGTGACCTGGATGTTAGAGATTGCATATTTAAACACAGCTTTTTATGAGCTCCCCATGCTAATCCTCGTCATTCTCCCTGTACAGAAATAGGAGAGAATCAAGAAAATGCTTAAATAGGATTTGGTAGTAGTGGAGGCATGCTATTTCTTTGTGAGCAGCACCATCTCCTTATATCAGTGACACCCACTTTTGTGTTTTCAGGAATGATGTGTGATTTGGGAGAGTGATGGCTTCATCCCCAAACCATTTGTGTTTTTCCAATGTTTTCTGTCAAACGCTTCAAGGGATTTTTGGAGCATTGAACAGGAATGCCTGCAACGTCCAAATGGGTAATATGTGCCTGCCCAATAGAGGGAAAAAACTGAAATGCTCTGGAAAGTGTGCGATAGCACTTGCTTTGATACAACCTCATCTAATCACCCTGTAATCAAATCTGAATGACTGCTCATTAAATACCCAATGTTGTCTAATCTCCCTGCAAACAAATCAAGATGAATCTTCCATAAACAGGTCATTAGGGAGCAACCCCAGAATAAGGCAGTGTCCTATGTTGCTAAGCATGCCCCAAAATGTTCAGAGAATTTCTTTCCCTCACCCCCACCAAAAAAGCAGCAGAAAATCTGCCTGTGTTTTTATAGGGGGGGATAACGTTTCATGAACCTTAAGGGTAGGGAAGGAAGAGGTTTTGACAAAGCTCTACTATATATATATATATATATATATAATCACAGATGTGCTAAGGCAAGTTACTCCTATGTATGAAACTGCATGCTGAGTCAACATAACTGCAGAATGACAACACCAAACACAGGTCAGTTTACCATGAGTTAGAGGACCTGGCTGGTGAGATCTTTTTACAAATAGCTGTGGATACGATCACTTTACATTATATTTATGTGATTAGACATTTTAGGGCTGAAGAGAGGTTTAAAAACTAAGACTTGCGTGGTGGTATACAGGAATGTCCAATTGTGCTGATTTGTGTTGCTAAGTGCAGCATTCATTAAAATGGCACATTGTTTCCGGAATGGCACATGGGGATGCAGTGTCTTTCCCAGACTGACTTCAACAAGCCAAGCAACTGATCCCTGCTAACTGGAATTTGCATTTTCCTGAGCCAAATGCATGTTACATATGACTACATCAAGCTTCCATTGGGAGCTCAATGACTTTCAAGTCATTCCCCTAACTTCACCCACGTAAATCTCCAAAACCATTTCTCAGCATCCCTCATGCTCGGCTCCTCATTTCTGCCAGCATCAGCACCAAGTATGCATAAAGATCCCCAACAAGAGGAAAATTCCTCCCTTGTGCCCCCAGAACTTAAACAGCCTCAAGATAAGCAAATGGGAATGGATTTCTGGAGACCTCCTTGCCTTTCTTCCATCGCTAGAGCAAATGGAAAGGTGGGTGTCGCATAGGATTAAAGCTGGAGACACTTGCATTTGTGGAGGGAGGAGGTGGAAACAAGTAGGTGAGTCAGAGGGACTTGGTGGCAAGTTGTGGATGGGCTGTGGCTCAGTGGTGGAGTATGAGTTTTGCATGCAGAAGGTCCCAGGTGTTGGCACCTCCAGGTAGGGCTGAAAATGTCCCCCATCTGAAACCCTGGAGAACTGCTGCCAATTAATGTGGACAGCACTGGTCCAGATGGATCAGTGGTCTGACTCGTCGTAAGGCAGATCCCTATGTTTCTAACCAAGTGAGGTGCTTGATGGGCGGGCTAGTGGATGGAAGGAAGGATTAGTGAATTGGAGACAAGTTCTTCTCCAACTGCAATTCAAATCCAAGTCAGAAAGAATTCAAGAGTCATAGTGCTTGCTGTGCCTTGGAGGTGAGGGTTATAGGCCCATCAGGAGTCTCAATCCCTGTCCAAGGAATTTCAAAGCTAAATGCCATCTCTGTGCAGAAGGAGAAGCAGGATGACTCTTAGGAGGACAAATTCTTGGACCGCTCCTGGTTATCTTAAGAAGCGAAGTCCTGCACACTTCAAAAGAAGTGACAATTTCGCAGTATTTCCAAGGATCTATTTCAACATTTTCTTTGCTAAGAATGTAACGGTACTTTCTTTTGCATATAACATTTTCTTTTAACAAATTAAGGATTGCTTCCAACATGCTTGTACTTGGTTTTCTGACTTGGGCCACGTGAGCAGGTGTAAACTAGCAACTGAATCACATACCCATTTTTGCTGCTGCATATGCACAGAGTGGCAATATGCATGTGTGTGTGTGTGTGTGTGTGTGTGTGTGTGTGTGTGTCCTTACGGTGTGGATAAACATAAATAATGATGCTTGAGTAACTACTATATACACTTATAGACCCCCACACTACTTCTTCTTTTAAATCTGATACAGAAATTGTCAATTTGGACATCAAAATATACATTAGTTATAAAATATTTAAAAACTTTATTTTTTTTTATTTGTCTGGAAAGAAACTACTATTGGTAAAGTAATAATCAATTTTATCAATATAGATTACAAAATAACCTACTAAAATTTTGTTTCATTTTTGGTCTTATTGATCAGCAGTTGCACTTGTGGCACTGCTGTCAATATCATTTTAAAAGAAAAAAGAAAAAGCCAATATGACAATAAATTCAAATGACACATTTTTTCCCCTTCTTCTCAGAGAATATAATATTCTTAAAATGATTGTTAAAAGAGGAACCCTTTCATGCTGCCAAACTTTTAGAAGCATTGATAAAAATTTAAATATATAAAATATATGTGATCACATCAACTCTACGGCAATATGGATTTTTAAAAATCTTATCCTACACAGTGCCTTCTAGAAGATACTTTAATGCACAGATCTCACCCTCATGTACAGCATATAAACCATCTCTTTCTCCTGCTAAAACCAAGAGGTCATAATTCTTTGGTCATGACATTATAGTCTAGTAAGATGGGTGTGATGTCACAGAGGACTATGACCCAATTACAGGATCAACCAGGAATACGACAATGGTTACTTGAGAGAAATGTGCTCTACAGACCCAATCCAAAGGGTCAGACTTTCCAAGATGAAGTCAACCTTTCTCATTGACTTTAGTGAGATTTCACACTAACTCATTCTATAACTGGACACAAAATACAATATATTAGAAAAGTAACGTGAACATTGTGAACGGATTTTCTTTTTTTGTTACCTTTACTTTCAGGGACCCAAGACAAATGAGGATGGGAATTAGAGCTGCATTATCACCATTTCAACCTGCTAAATGAATAGAGGATAACTGAATCATGTGATGTATACAATTCCTTAATCACAGTGAACCCTGGTCTCCACAAATCATCTGAATAGAAGAAGGAAGAGTTCTCAGTTGAAGATAACCTTTCTGCAGCAAAGCTAACTCACATTTCTAGCTAAACTACTTGATCCGTTTTGCTCAAGACGTTCACCCTGATCCAGACGGTTGATCCATGTGAAGTAGTCTATTTCTTTGTGCAGATCCTCCTTGCATTATTGTTTACTCAAAGTTATGTGGTCAAGGCTTAACCCCTGCCCACCATATCAACATGCAATATTCCTGCATCTGCTACACAAACATCTCACTAAGCTGAGTTGTTAGCTCTGACAACCTATCTGGAAGGATGGGGTTCGAGTACAGGGCTGATTTTAGACACCCTCTCGCTACCACCAATTCCCTCTAATGGACTGAATGCTGTTTGGCAGGGAAAAATCCTTGCATAGCTTCTGCACAGACAGGTCTTTTGATCAGGGCCCTATGGTACAAGCCATTAGACAGTATCCAGCCACGTTAGCAAGGCTGAGGCAGGAGGTTGCGAAGCAGTCACGCTTGGTAAATTGCAGTTGTTTCTAATACGTTAATACAATTTTACAATAGCAAATATACGTTGTTGTTTTTTTTTAAAAAATGACACATTGTTAACATAATTCCGACATCTGAATGAATACTGTTTTACCTGCCTTGCTCGCAGTTCCATCCACCTTCCTGCCAAACAGTATACAGAAAATGAAATCAAATGAGTTCTTTTAAAATTATTATTTAATTTCACTTCTACATCCCTAGCACCGGTTTGTTACTGTTAAATCAAAAATGTACAACCACATGCTTATGTCAAGATAGAGAATGTAGGCTTATGGGATAATTTTAAATTGGTTTTTTTAAAAAGAACAAAAACAAACCCCAAAACATAAAGGTAACACATAGAAAACAGTTAGAACAGTTTATGAGTAAAATTCTTCATACATGTTTGCATTATATTTTAAATAGTGTATTGTCTCAGTTTTTTTTAAGAGATTGGCAAAATATTTACATCTTTCTATTTTTTTTTCCTGGATCCCAAAGAATCCTCAAAAATGTGCATGCCTTCATTTAGTGGGAGACATAGATTTTTCTTTTGATTGACAGGTGGGTACTGCTTTAGCAAGCTTTATCCCTAGGTAGTTCTTCACCTGAAAATTAAGTCCCAGCCACCACCTTATTAGGAAGATAGGCTGACAGTGCATGTTTTAGCAATGTGCGGAAGATAGCCCCTCATGCTCCTATCATATTGCAGTGTCCCAGAAAACGGTTTGTTGCTTGGAATATGGAGGGGGGCTGTACTTCTTGGACCCTGTGTTCTTCTTCCAACTCGGCAAGATAGGCATGCTGTCCTGTTTGCAAAGTCCTTTCTCGGATTTCTGCCGTGCCTTGATTTCTTTGCACAGGCAACGTTTTTTCTCAATCATTTCCAGCATTGTATGGTCTCCGTGCAACCACTGCATACATGTCACCTATTAAAAAAGGCACAAGAGTTTAACTGCAGGCAAAGTGGTAGTGCTGGTTCTCAGAAAGCATTTTCAAAATACTTACGGCAATCACTGGAGGAGAAAAAAAGAAAGAAAACCAGAAACTATGCAATCGGGCACCTTTAACTTTCACCCCCAAGACCAACAATGGGCACAAGTTCTGTGTTAAATATACATAAGAAATTTAGGGCTGATAGCTAGAATGGTAAAGGACCATAGCTAGACAGTTCAGTACCTACTTAGCATGCAGAATGTCCCATGTTCAAAACCCAGGCATCTCCCAGTAGCACTGGAAATGTCCCCTGCCTGAAACAGTGGAAAGCCACTAGCCGCCAGTGTAGACAAGACTGAGACAGACAGATCAATAATCTGGCTTTGTATAAGGCAGACTTCCCATGTTCCTTTATGCAACAGTTCTTGGATGGAACCATGTAAGGCTGCAGGTAGTGGTAGGGTTTTCTTGTTTGAACTTTTGTCACTGGAAGGAAAATCTTTACACAAGGGAAAACTAGCATGCTAAAGAGAAGGGTAAGGTCTTCTTTTTTATTATTTATTTAAAAAACCCCTAAAATCTTTGTGTTTTCTTTCTTTGTACATCCGCTGAGTTTTAAAATGAGAGAATTCGATCCTGCAGTTTCCGCACTTGTTGATTCAAGTGATACAGGAAATTTTGAGCATGTAATGAACCATTTTCTTTAGACCAAACAAAATATTGTGAGTGAATTTCTGTATGTAGAAGCCATCATTCTTCATTTGAGTTAACTAAACACACATGAGGGGCAGTGGGAACGAGTGTGCTAGATTCATCTCCATTGTTATTCCAGTCACCCTCCTCATGTTGGAAGGTGAACTTGTGAAGTGGGGAGCCTTCTGTGCTTGCGGAGAAACCCCTGCATGTTTTGCAACTCTGAAAAATCAGGATTCACATAGTGGCACATTTCCTGGAAAAGGTAGGGATCAAGGCAGTGTTATTTTTCTAGAAAAAGAGGTGCCAGAACTCACCATGAATACCTCCTTTGCTCTCTTATAATGGCAATGGCGCCCACCTGAGAGGTGTCGGAACTGAGTTCCGGCTGAAAAAAGTCCTGGATCAAGGTCATATGACATCACTGTGTGTTGTTCTCTAAACATGCTGGGGAGTGCAGCCAATGAGAGTGGAAGACGACTCTCTTCAGAGTTTCCCACTGGCTGCACTTTCAAGTGATATTCAATATGGTAAGCAACAATCATCCCCTCATAATTTTGGAGAAATATCTCCTCCTGCCTCCCCTCAGTTTTGCAGGGGAGAATATTTTCTGGAAACAGGAGAAGCTGATATAGACCTAGCCTATGTTCTGTCCCCTAGACTTCTCTTCTCATTCAAAAAGCCCATGTGCCAGAGCAGCAACTTTCTTCTCTCAAGGAGAAAAAATGGTGAAGCTCAGCCTTCTGCTTGTCTTTTCTCTCAGAGTCTCTCTCCCCACTGGTCTTCCCCCATTCAGTACTGATCTTTTAGAGTTTTGCCCTGGAGCAATGCTTTGTTTCCATTTGTATGGCAAATTTCCCTTTATTTTTATGACTTCCAGCATGTGTGAGTATGTGTGTGAGAGAGATAGAGTGTGTGTGTGTGCATGTACGTTCAGCATGTAAAAATCCTCCCAGTGATGTGTTCCCATAAGAGAAGATCACAATAAGGTGCAGAGTTAACCCCAATGATTAGCCATCTGACAGCTTCTTCAAATGTTTAAGTACAGGGCAAAATTCAGTTGGGTGCCAAATCACAGCAAAAGAAAACTATAGATGCACACCAAAGAGTAAAGATGATTCTGAATGGCTCACTAAAGGTAACATAATATTGTTCAGGTACCAGATGGTCACATTGGCAACCATGCTTATTCCCCCTCAGTTCTGTAGTCAACAATGACTGAAGGCACATTCAGGTACCATGAAACTGATCATTGGGTGGCCCTGCAAGGTGAGCACATTAACTGCACCATCCCTCCATCATTATCATCACCCTCCATGGTTTGGTGGGTGGCTATATGCCCATAGTCAGAACCCTAGAATATCAGGGTCAAAAAATGTGTGGGGATCCTTTATTAATGCAGGAGACTCCAGCTTCACACAGTTGCTCCCAAATTCATGGGGGGCACTGAGACTGCTGATGAGGTAAAGCAGAGGTAGTGCACATATCCCTTTAACCCCCTCTCCCCCCACATGACGACAGTGTTACAGCATTGCAGCGATGGAAGAGGGCTCAGGGTGCCTCTGCATCTGCCTTGAGATTTTGGTAAACAGTTGTTTTGGTAAACAGAAACCACAAAAATGGCCATAGCTTCCATAGCATTAAGACTGTTCTCATGATGTGTGAAAGCTGGGGAATTGAGGTAGGGATGTAGGAGGGAGCTGTTTTAAATTGATTTACACAGGCAGTTCCAACCAGTGGCGTGTGGTCCGTGGACTAGGGGGCTAGGCTAGTCCCTTAAATATTTCTGGTAAATTAGAGTATTAAAGTATTAAAGCCCAGCGCCTCCTTCCCAAAGCCCGGGAAGCTTCTGGCCAGCTTAGGGAGGGAGGATTGATGTTCTACAGGGTCCAAGAGCTTTCCTACCACCTTTCTAAAGCCTGCCTGGATTTGGGAAGGAGGAAGCAGGGCTCCAGCATCCTGTCAGAGGCCTGGTGCCTCATTCCCAAAGCCCGGGAATTTTCTGCTTGGCTTAGGGAGGTAGGTGCGATGCTCATGCACACGACATCAGGACGTCAGGATGTTCCCTGCACCACCACCACCCGCAATCATGCTCACAATCTGGTGCCTCTGGCCCTAACTGTTCCCCTACGGAATATTTCACCACACGCCACTGGTTCCAACCCCATCATTCTTTGCTCACATTGAACCAGGTCTTGCATTGAGCACCCAGTTATGTCCGAGCATAACATACTCAGCTGCAACCTCAATCAGTCCGAAGATGAGGAATACAACAAGCCTGTGTTCTTTCTTACTATTGGGTAGTAACATTGCATTCTGAAGAAGGGTTACACGATTCAATCATTTCCTGAAGAGGAAATAGGAGTGCCGTTAATGCTTGGAAGACAAAAAAATTAATATTTCTCTGAATTAGTAGGAGCTTTTAAAAATGTCAGGCACTGCAATGTCGACTAATTAAAGGGTTTTTAAATCAATTAATTTTATTGCCTCTGAGCAAATTAACTGACTCGTTCATCAATTAAAGTATCGCATAGTATGTAAGAACTGACAAACCTTTGTATGACTAAATAATAAATATATTTTGTCTGTTAAATGAAAACTAGATAAAATGCATTTCCTCAATCAAGAGATGTGCTAAGCTTGTCTACCACAATGCTATCAGTGCTCAGCATCCTTTCAGAGGGCACATCTCGAATGTAATTTCATCTTTTTAATCTGCAATTAATCAAATTAGGTCCACTGATTAGCTGATTAAATTGTTCATTCCTACTCAGACATTTATGGCTAGTTAGTTTCAATAAAATGTGACTCTCAATGGAGGCAATAATATCAGCATTTCAATATGCAGATCTTCTTTTAGTGCCTCTCAGCACTGAAAGCACCAAACACGCACCACAAGAAACAAACGGTGTCAACACTGTACACAAAGTCAATAACTCAATACACAAAGCACGAGTGAAAAAAAATATGGAAACACCTATAAGAAAACACCTTTTTTCTGCAAACGAAAAAGTGACCAAAAATATAGAGAGATTATGGAGGTGGAAAAAATGATATTAATAAAAGTAAAAGAAGAAGACAAAAGCCTTATCATTATATGAATGTGATTCTGCTTCAGCAGCTGATTCTCTTTTGTAATAATAAACTTATTACATGCACCATGCCTAATTGAACAAAAAGTGCATCTGCACAAGCCCCACTGAAATAAATGGAAGCATTTGCTGTGTTTCAGTGCAGTTCTTGTTCAATGGAAGCTTGAGAAGGGGAACTTCCAGTTAGAGTGTACCTAAATATGAATCGATCTATTATGTTATAGGGACGCAGGTGGCGCTGTGGGTTAAACCACAGAGCCTAGGGCTTGCCAATCAGAAGGTTGGCGGTTCAAATCCCCGCGACGGGGTGAGCTCCCGTTGCTCGGTCCCTGCTCCTGCCAACCTAGCAGTTCGAAAGCACGTCAAAGTTCAAGTAGATAAATAGGCACCACTCCGGCGGGAAGGTAAATGGCATTTCCGTGCGCTGCTCTGGTTCGCCAGAAGCGGCTTAGTCATGCTGGCCACATGATCCGGAAGCTGTACGCCGGCTCTCTCGGCCAATAAAGCGAGATGAGCGCCACAACCCCAGAGTCGGCCACGACTGGACCTAACGGTCAGGGGTGCCTTTACTTTTTTATTATGTTATGGTATAGCATTAGCTATCTTCAGAACTCCCCACACCACATTCTTCAAGCATGCAAGGGGAAGGAAAAGGCTGTGGGTTCGAGTGTTCTAGCCCCCTTCTCCTCACTGTCACTCTCATCACCTCCAAGAGTTGTAGGGGATGATCTGGTGATGGGGGAGGCGGAGCTAGCTGACCTGACCCCTCAGCCTTACCTCGCATGTTTCCAGAGCACAGTGTTGGAACTCCTAAAGATGGGTAGGAGCATGTTCCCCTCTCACTCCCCCACCCCCAGCTCCACAGCACCTTAATTCTGCTTCACCTTGTGGATGGGCAAGATACTACTGTTTTCCCCCAGCTGCAGAGCTATTCTCAAGTAAGTAAATAAATAAATAAACAAATAATAAATGCATTGCTGTTCACAGCAGAAACGGGGCACATTGTCTTCCATTTTCTCTCTCTCCATGTAGAACTTTTTAAAAACAATGCTGAGCCATTGTGCTGCAAAAACCCTTCCAACTGCAGCTCCCTGGGACAAGGTGGTTGACATAGCACAAAAAAAAAAATCTTTCTTAGTTTTCCTCAGAAGAAAAGCCTTCCCCACCTCTTTGTGCATATGGCAGCATTTGAAGCTCTGGTCACTGAGACATGCCCACACTTCAGTAGGTGTTTCCATACTTTCCCCCAGTATTGCATTATCACACTTACTTTACTGTAATTGTTTACGCTACTAGGCTGTGGAAGTGGTTGTTCTCTCCTGGTTCTGGTGGGTTTCTTCCCTCTCCTACTGGGTGTGCAGTGGGGTTGATTCTACATTTAGAGTAGGTATGGGGGAGAACCAAATAAAATGAGATGGGTGTGATCATGGAGCTCATCACGTATCAAAACAAAGTTCTTTTCCACAATTGCTGCACAGGAACAAAATGGACAAACCAATGTGAGGTGAAAGGATGCACAGAAGCGATGGCTGAATTTAATTAAAAATGCAGTCGTTTCGAAATGGCCAGTGTGTCCAAAAATAAAGGAACCCATAAGGTGGTTTCCTGAAAAGTGCAACGCTTTTCACTTTTTGTAGAGCTGTCATCAGGCAAACAAAAAAAGGAGAGGCTTGTTGAAGGAATCACTTACCGTTTGCTGTAAAGAGGGAAAAAGTGAGGGCACTACTTGCCAACTCTGACTGAACAATTAAGGCATAGAATTCTTTAAATTCCTGGATTCAGTATGTCTGGTGAATGCATTTTTGTATTATATTGATGAGATAAGCAAATTCTGGTACAAATCTATTATCTATACAAATATGGGATGTCTCTGCTATTTACCTGCAGATTTTTGAAGCAAGACGGCTGGCATGTTAGATTATGAACCCTGGGTACTAATAATAGAATCATAGCTTCATAAATTGTAGAATTGGAAGGGACCCAAAGGGCCCTCTAGTGCAACCCCCTGCAATGCCGGAATCTCGACTAAAATATCCATGACAGATGGCCATCCAACCTCTGCTTTAAAACCCCAAAGGAAGGAGAGTCCACCACCACCTTCCAAGGGAGTCAGTTCCACTGCTGAACAGCTCACCATCAGAAAGTTCTTTCTGATGTTTAGTCGGAATCTCCTTTCTTGTAACTTGAAGCTATTGGTTTGGGCCCTACCCTCCAGAGCAGGAGAAAACATGTTTGCTTTATCCTTTATGTGACAGCCCTTTAGATATTTGAAGATGGCTGTCAGTCTCTTCTTTTCCAGGCTAAATACGCCCAACTCCCTCAACCATTCCTCAGAAGGCTTAAGTAGTAGTTTTCGGACCCTTGATCATCTTGGTGAAACTCCTCTGTACACATACCTGCTTGTCAATATCCTTCTTAAATTGCGGCACAGAAATACACACAGTACTCCAGATGTGGTCTGACCAAGGTAGAATAGATCAAGACTATAATAGATCAAGCGCACGGAAACGCTGCTCTGGCTCGCCAGATGCGGCTTTGTCACGCTGGCCACGTGACCCGGAAGTGTCTCCGGACAGCGCTGGCCCTCGGCCTCTTAAGTGAGATGGGCGCACAACCCCAGAGTCTGTCAAGACTGGCCCATACGGGCAGGGGTACCTTTACCTTTACCTTTTTATGACTTCCCTCATTTGAGACAGTATTCTTCTGTTGATAGAGCCTAGAATAGCATTAGCCTCCCCCCCCACTCTTTTTGTTGCTGTTGCTTCACACTGTTGACTCATGTTCCATTTGTGGTCTACTAAGATCCCTAAATCATTTTCACATAGTTGAACAACAGTGTGCCTAGGACAGAACCCTGCGACATCTGCTTGTCACTTCTTTCAAGTTGATGAGAAACGATTAGTGAGCACTCTTTGGGTTTGGTCAATTAATCAGCTACAGATCTAACTAACAGTTACCTTGTACAACCCACATTTTACAGCTTCTCCACAAAAATATGAAGCTTTACTGAAATCAAGATACACTACATCCACAGCATTTCCCTGATCCACCAAGCTCGTAACTGTATCAGAAAAAGAAATGAGATTCGTCTGGCATGACTTGTTTTTGAGAAACCCATGCTGGGTCTTTGTAATCACACTAGAACATTATCTGTTCTAGGACCTTTCCTGGAGGACCACAGGATCTCCATCCCTTGAGTAGGGCTAGAAAACAGGCTGTAGAAGGGAAGAGTCACAGTACAATTATTATTAAGAAGCACACGCGAGATAATATCAAAACATTGAAGTCATTTGAATGACACAGGGACAGATTGTTTTATGTCTGAGGCCTAAAGGTTTAATTCATCACTGTTCTGTCATCTGAGAATGTTTAGGCTTATTAAATTGATGCATCCCACATCTGAAAAGGATTAAGCAAAAAGGAAAGATTCTCCCCACTCCTCAGGTGACAAATCCTTAACATCGAAGTGAGTCACAGAGCAGCAGGCAGCATGACTCAAGGTAAGTCACTGCCAGTAAATTCTGTTCCCTCCTGCACAATGAAGTAAATGGGAGTATTTTCATCTTCTGTCAGAAGAGAATAAGAGGAGATAATTCTTGGCATTTGGAGTTCCGCAAGTTATGCTGTGAAGGGACTCGTGGAACAGGGGAGGACCAGACAAAGGATCTGGAAGTTATCTTCACAGGTCAGCTGTATTTTCCAACATGGAACTAATGTTCTGTTGGCATAGTGCTTATTTCTTGTGCTAAAAAGAACAGCATTGGAAATATATTTACATTCATTTTTTCATTAAAACAGGCAGTCATTGGGAAGAGTCAACATACATTCAGCAGGCTGCCCTACGGCAATATGCCCTCAACCCATTGAGAGCCTTTGGGTGGGATGTGATGGTGGGGGCAGGACAAGCACACACAACCCTGCTCTTCTCCCCCAAGCAATTATCAGTGCTTTGTTGTGACCTGAGCAGGGCAGGATTCTGAAGCACTTTGTAAACTTGAGCACACACAGTAAGTAGTCCAAGCACTGTCCAGTGTAGAATTTCCTACCCTAGTGACTGTGTCCTTCAACACTTAAGGCTTGAGTAAAATTTCTTCTAAGTCACTAGAATGAATCTCATTAACCCGAGAGAGATTTGGATCAGATTGAACTCCCAAGAACCTCTGGTGGAACATATCCTCAACTCATTTTGTTGTTGTTGGTTTCCAGAATCCATCCTTCTAAGTTACTTCCTCCCTAACCCCATAAGCTACAGGCTAAAACTGAGTTTCTGAAGATGAAGAAGAAAAAGTTAACCTGCAGAAGGAAGGTCTTGCACAAAAGAGGGATTTCAAGTTTGGCAATCAAAAATTATTATTTTAGAACAACCACCCACCACCTCTTTTTGTGAAAATGTGTTGTCCTTCCAGAAAGAAGGTACACGAGGCTGCCGTAATTTATTGTTCAGTTAGAGCAATCCAGCTGGACCAAGTCCCCAAAGATAAATAATAAAATTAACAGTAATTGAATGGAAGTTATTACCCTTAAAAAGTAAATATGCCTTATGTTAGCACAGACAGTTCCTAATAGAGGCTGTAATCCAGCAAAGCACTTATGTGCCCAATGTAAAGTCTGGTGTTACTGATCATCTGTATGTCCAGTAAGAACAGAATGGAGGCTGGCCAAGATTTCATCTGGAGCCTCTTTGTGGCAGGTGTCCAGTGTGGGGAATAGGATGTTAAAGTGGGGCTGTGGAGTGGTACTCAGAGCCAAACATCACTATGGAAACATATTATGAGCTGGAGGGCAACAGCTAGTTTCCATGTATTATTTACCTAACCAGGGACTGTGAAAATGATCGTGTTGAGAACTGTGATAGATTCCATCACCTTAAATGCATTTTTACTCAGTGAATATGATCAACAATCTTAGCACAATCCACCCAATTTCTTTTTTTTCTTTTTTTAATGACAAGCATGCTAAAATGAAGATGGAAACATTGACTTTGAGATGATGAGATTTTTGACACCTAGTACGTCTGGGATTCTTTTCATTGAGACTTTGGGCTACTCACGGCTGCCATGCTTTTGATCTGAGTGGGGTTACAGTGGGACATGGTTACAGACATAGATAAAATTATTGAGAGTTGGGGGTCCTAGATCAACTTGGCCTCATCTGCACAGCAATCTCTAATTACCCCAGTTGCAAGAAGAAGAAAAGAGGCACATATCATATTCTAAGAGAATGAAGGAAATCCAAAGAGGCCAAGGTAAATATTAAAACCAAACGCCTTTGTACATTAAGCCAAATTTAACAATGTGTGATTTACCAACATCAGCCCTATGAAACAGAAAATATCTCAGGATGAACTTTAATTTAGCAACGATCAGGGTTAGAAATGTTTCATTTGTTTACCATTTTGATTTCAACAAGAATGCCTAACCCTAACAAGTCTAACTCAATACTATTAATACTATTTAATGCCCATTCTTATTGGCTGCAAGAAGTCACACCATGATATAGCTTATTGAGTCTGCTTTTAATTATCTGAAACACATATCAGTGCCTATAGCCCATGGTAACTAGCATGTAATTATGAACCTTGCAAAAGAAACGAATATAAAACTAAGAATATAACTACAAGGCTGCGACCTTCATTATTTGTTAGAAGAGAACTTAAGAGTAACAACCCTTGCTGCTTAACTAAACAACCCAAACTAGTTGAGCAAAGACCGAAATACCCAGGTGTGGGAATGGTGTTTAGGCTTCCCTCTGTGGTACCTAAGGCTAGGAGAAGGAAATGATGGCTAATTCAACACCCTGTGTTTGCTTTATGCCCTATGCTTTATGAATTCACCTCTTGTACCTGAGTTTTCCATCTCTGTCCATGTATTGGCAATGATATAATGGGACAGCTAGTGATAGACTGAGATTCCCCCAGTGAGGGACTCACATTGAGGCACCCCTAATGTTTGTATAAAAGGGACACAGGTGGTGCTGTGGGTTAAACCACAGAGCCTAGGATTTGCCAATCAGAAGGTCGGCGGGTCGAATCCCTGCGACGGGGTGAGCTCCCGTTGCTCGGTCCCTGCTCCTGCCAACCTAGCAGTTCGACAGCACATCAAAGTGCAAGCAGATAAATAGGTACCGCTCCGGCGGGAAGGTAAACGGCGTTTCCGTGCGCTGCTCTGGTTCGCCAGAAGCGGCTTAGTCATGCTGGCTACATGACCCGGAAGCTGTACGCCGGTTCACTTGGCCACTAAAGCGAGATGAGCGCCGCAACCCCAGAGTCGGTCACGACTGGACCTAATGATCAGGGGTCCCCTTTACCCCCTTTAATGTTTCTATGCCAATTCTCTACAGATGGTACAGCTTTCCCACCCTTCAGTCTAATAT